CTCGCCACCCCCCCCCCCCCCCCCCCCCACACACACACGTCCCACAATACAGTCAAAGTGCACGTTTTAGTGTGGGCAGCATCAGGCACGCCTGTGTACTAAATGAAGTCACACCAGATGCCGACTGGTTTTCAATGATCAAATATTTGAGAGAAATAGGCATCGCTTTTACATAGAAAGTCTGCTCAAGAAGAATGGAAGCAAAAGCAAATCTGTTGCATTCATATGCCTGTTCAGTATATGTCTACCGATAAATATTCTGATGCAATGTTTCTGAAAATGTGTTTTTCATCATCCACATTGAAATGAGCACACAGTGACTTAGCAACATTTAGCATTTAGCACAAATTCCAAACAAATGTGAAACATGTCAGCAGTGGCTCCGTGTTGAATGTCCCAAAATGATTTAAATGATGTGTTCGTGTTTTTTGTAAAATTATGTTTTTGTTGTTTTTATATAAAAACAGTTTTGAAACCTGTACTGTTGAGTAAAACAAGACAATCACTTTATTATGCGCTTAAAAAAGTAGTGCTCTGCATGTAAATCTATGTTGTTGTTTTACAAAGACGTCTTAAGAATCACCTCACACTCAAGTCGTATAGTAGAAAAAATGCTGCATTTTATGATTCCGGTTTGTATGTGTTTTGCTTTTTACCATGGTAAAAATGAACTACCACAGTGGTGAGGTGAGTCTCACCAACATTCACCTGATTAACAGCAACTTTGGAAAGCGTGAAGTCCTGCTTACTCTTCAAGGATCTACTGCCTATCACCGTTACTTTTGTCTCAATCAAATGATCATAACTACGTTTCTAAAATGTATCGTCTTTCAGCTATGTGGAAATAAAACGTTTGGTACAATCACAATCAAACACCTCTGCTGTCGTCTTTGAACCGATGTCTCCTTCTCTTGCGTCTCGCGAGACTTTTCCTGTCAGCCCACATAACCAACCCCCACCCGTCCATCCTAAAGTTGGAGATGTAAACACGCACGGAGAGTCGGCGTACGTGGCTCCTGGGCCGTTGGCTAAGCGCTAGTTTTGGTGTGCCCGGTGTGTATTTCGGGTTGACTTCTTCACACACTTATACTATATACACATGCTGAAGTGATGCACGCCACTGACAACCTTTGGATGCTTTTAGCACAAGCAGACAACACCGCCAACCCCCAGCGCAAGACTTTTTGCACCAGCATGGGTGTGAACTCACAACCAATCCCAAAACAAACAAACGAACACCGATACTGGAGGCAGCAGCTTCAGAAAGACCCAAATGCCACAGTTTGCTCTCACTTCTCGAAAAATATGAGATGACTTCCAGGGGCGAGCTGGCAGCTCCTACGACCTGCTGAGTGCACAACGCTGCAGACGTTACATCTTTAATGAGCCACCCGGAATCATTTATGAGAGTTTTCTTTCTCCCGCAGTCTTCAGACGGTTAACTTTGCACTCTTGTGACATGATCAATCACCCAAGCAAGATGTTGTGTGTCCCACTTTAGCTTTGTGGTGCTGCAGACTCCTGCAGCCGAAGCCCGCTGGGAGAGGCTGAGACCAAATATGTTCATGTGGGGACTGAGATCATTTACCTCATTACCATGGCAACTGCCAAAATCTGTCTGAGTCGGGACCTTTTCATTGGTGCGTTGGCCATATTGCAGCTGTGCTTGTGAAGCCTTAGGAGTTCTGTGACGGTCCATTCTCTGAAATTCAACGGCTTGACCAGGGTTCTGTGTTTTTGTGTCCTTTGCTACACAAGTCAAATATTAAATATTAAATCACCTTCTAGAACCATCTAAGTGATTTCAGGCAACCCAGACGGACACAGAGAAAAATATGTTGCTGCGTTCTGAGTAGCGAACACTAAACCTCATTCACAACTATTGTTGTATTCTTATATTTCCCAGAAATACATTCATCCGTTATCTGAGCCGTTTATCCTCACAAGGGTCGCGGGTTTATACTCACAAGGTCCATATAGGAAGGCTGGGGCCGGATTCAAACCCACCTCCTCTGCACTGTGAGGCGGCCGTGCTAATCAGTCAGAATGCCATGCTTCCTTAAGACAAAAGCAAAGGGCCGCAAATGCAATTTAAACAGGCCCCAAAATTGAACCCAGTGGAACACCATACAACAGTTGAGCAGAGTGGGACTCAGAGCAACCAAGGCTAACACAAAAAGTCCTGCCATTGGCAAGAGGTTTCCCTCCTCCCCTCAGAACTGCGCCAAATCCAACATTAGATCTCACGCTCCATTCTAACTTAACTCATGAAAAGGAAACCAAAGATAGTTGGACTCTTCTACTTTGGGCAGTGTCTCCTCCCTGACTCATAGATGGCACTCCACCATTTTCTGACCGAGGATCACTGCTCCAGATTTGGATTTGCTGACTCTCATTCCAACTACTTCACGCTCAGCCCAAAGGGAGATTGAAATCACGGTTTGATGAAACCAACAGAACCAAATCACCTGCAGAAAGCAGAGATATAATGGTGAGACCACCAACCCACTTACCCTCAACCACTTGGCTTCACCTAGAAATGCTTTCCTTAAAGGTTATGAACCAAATCGCTGAAAAATGGCAGCCCTGGCAGAGTCTATCCCTAAATTGAAACAGTCTGATGAGTTTTTGTTAAGATCACAAACCTTATGGTCCTGTGTTTGTAGATGCACATCTGTATGTATATTCGACGCTGATCTTTTTTTTTCTTTTCATTTTACCGAAATGCAAAATTGAAAAGAATACATTGCAGCAAATTATAAATGACTATAACAATAGACAACTTTTTCAGGCCTGCTTGGACTAGTGTTGTTTTGTGTTAACTAACAATGGCTGGATGTTTCCCTCATGTAGGTGCTATGCCCTGGGAAACATCAACTGTTGTCTTTCAAAATGACAATAAAAATGTCTCAGACCTAAATTGGCCCAGTCATCGTAGGAATTGTTCAATTTAAAGAATGGGGTAAAGGGATAAAGTATGTCAACGTAATGAAATGGATTGCTGATAAATGCGCAAGTGTGCATCAGTAAAGAGTCTTCCCTCCTGTGACTGCACACACCCTGTCGGCATTCGTCGACATGTCACTGTGCATTATATCCAATCCAGCAAGCAGATTCTCCCGCACTTCCACCTCTCAGCTTCCTGTACACAGCCACCGCGGACAGAATAAGTGTGTGCTACTTTTGCTTGTACTTAACATCACCTTACAAACTGTTGAGCAACATCAAGTCCAAATTGGAATGTGAGCCCGCCCGATTCGTTCTCATTTATCGCCATGGCTGCTACTGGGAGCAAATGAGGGTCTCGCAAAGGTCGAGACGGTGGCGCGACGACCTGTGCGCGTTGTCATGAAGCTTTAAAGACTGCACTAATGGCTAGCATGAATAAGCTGGGAGGCTTTTAGGGCAGAAGCCCCCCCACCACCTCCACTCCATCCCTCGCTGTAACCCATATACTGTATGAGCTTTGACCTCCTGCTCGTTGCACATGCTACTGCAGCAGGAATTAAATACAGTAATCCCCACCTTGTGATGCTTCAGTATTCACAAATTCACAATGTTTATTTTCTGTGGAACTGACCAGCTATTCAGTGGAAAAATTCACCTCTTTCCGTTTTTCTGCTCTTGATAAAGGCCTTAAGATGCCACAAGAGGCCGCCAAAGTCCTGTCAAAACAGGAAAGTATTGTAGTACATGAATAACAATGGGAAACCAATTTTTTACCTACCGTAATTTATTTCATAAGCGATGCAAGTGAACTTTTCCAGATGAATTTTTATTGCCCTGATTTCGGGTCTGCCCCGATTTCTTTCCTAGCAAATCAAGTTTTCATAATCAGAAGAATACAATCTGTAATACAGTCGAGTCATATATTTAGTCATCTTGATGAAGTAAGGGTTTGGTGCAGCAACATGTGGATTTTTTTTCTGAAACATCATAGCTATAAATTACAACGCATGGCAAAATGCGTATTGCGCAAGCTTTTATATGTCAAAGTTCAAAACAAATGAAAATACCTAAAAATCCTGCTGTGCTAGAAAAAAGTAAAAGTATTTATTAAATCAGCGTCAAAAATTTGGATGAAGGACACATAAAGCCATCTCTGAGGTATGGGAATGAGATGAACGGTTTAAAGTTGAAGCGGTTTGGTCAAGAAATTTGGAAAATATCGTTAAGTCCGCCAAAGTGTTATTTTGGGGCTTTTATTTTGAAATGTCTGAAAAATGTTTGCATCAATGACAAAGTGAGTAGCACCATACAAGTATTCTGTAAGGATTTTGTTACCTGTTGCACAGGAATGCATCATCCGAGTGTTTTACTTCATGAAAGCTACCGTGTGACATCACTGAGTCAGCGGCATTCTCCCACCACTAGTGCTGCGCTTTGCCCTTCAGAACAATAACTATAGTTATAGAGGGAGTGTTTTGTTAACTGTAATATTTTAATTGGTCAAAATGGAACAGAGATGTTTAGTTTTTATTTTTGTTGTTGTTTTGAATGAAGAGGCCATATCTTTTTGAATATTACAGTGTCACTGCACGTAGCCTGACTGGCCTCAATAAAATAGCTATTTGTCTCACTAAAGGGGAAAAAAATGGGGGCTTCTAAGCTTCGTATTTGAATAACACGGGTTTAGTCTATTCATAGAGGCTAAAATTAGACATCAATTACGTGAACACTACAGGGCTCCGTACCTATTCTTTTTTTGCTGTACCATTTTCGCTTGATCCTGTCAGGCGCTACATGGCTAATTGAAAAGTGCAGCAGGCTCGAATTCTGAAGGGGAAGCCCTCCTCTGCCACCTGCTGGAGAAAAAAAAAAACAAAATCATTC